GGCCCCTCTCCGGTGGCGAAATTTTGCTTCTCCCCAAAAACCTTTTCCCCTTTAAGCTGGGGGCCACTCCCTAGGGGGGGGAAAAAATTAACCCCTCTCTTCTTAGGGGGCCCCCCCCCCGGAAGCTAAAAGGGGCCCTTTTGTTTGATTATTGTAAAAAGAGGGGGGGGGGGAATTAAAAAAAAAAAAAAAGATTTTTAAGTTCTCTGGGTTTTTGATTTTGGAGCAGCTCTTATTCTATTTCCTTATTTGGGGAAGAACCCGCTTCCCGAGCAACAAGGGTTTTTTTTGGCCCCTTTGGCGTGTGGGCTCTTCCACAAAAATACCCGACTTTCTGGCGCATGGGCCACGAAGTTTTCAATCGAAACTTCGTGGCCCACGCGCAGAAGTCGGTATTTTGTGGAAGAGCCACACGCAAGGGGCCAAAGAGCCGCATGTGGCTCTCGAGCCGCAGTTTGCCGAGCACTGGTATAGGTGAAGGAGTGCTCTAGGAGGTAGATGCTGAGACACTGCACAGCAGGGGTCATATCTGAAGAGCAGGCCCAGGCCTGGGTATCCCTCGGATCAACCAAACCCGCCCTCCACCCCCTTCCCAGGGCTCTACCAAAAGCGCAGAAAGGAACCACCCGCACACAGGGCTCCATGTATGATATATATTTATATATATAATTGCTCTCATTTTATTGTACTTAATTCTCTTTTTACAGTAGATCTGACACAGGCATTAAATAACTGCAGAGAGAGACCACTGGGGTGAGGAAGTGCAGGAAAACATGGGGACCCAAAGTGAAGAAACAGATCCAGCAAGAGAAAAAAGGGGAGGGTCCATCTGTGGGTGGGGTGTGGAGGCTGCAGCATCAAAAAAAAAAAAAAAAAGGGAGATTAGAGAGGTGAGGCAGTGAACAAATGGCACTGGAGGAGACAGTGAAAGGCCTCTGTAAAGCAAGAATACAGAAGGTCCCTCTTTTATAATTCTATGGGCACTAGGGGGTTGTTTGAAACTGCAGAGAGATCTGAAGGAGACAGAGCCAGGCCATTCAGGGCCTAAATGGAGGAGTATTTGCAAGTTTCAGGCTAAAATGCAGAGGAAAGGGTAGGCATTAGTGATTAGTTGATAAATTGCTAAGAGGAACCAGCGAGAGGATGGTGGGGGCAGATCTGGGCCCAGGGAAGCTGGTGGAATAGTCCCACAGCTGCTGACGTTCCCAAGGTGGCCACTGGGGACAGATCCAAAACGGCCGCCCCTCCCCCAGGGCTCTTGGGAAGTGGAACTTGAAGGATATTCTGGGAAAGCCGACAGGGGTAAGGGAGCCATCCGCAAAAAACAAAGTGGATATTCAGCCTAGGTCAACCCTGCCCCTCTGAGCCGTGCCTATTTGGGCGATAGAGACCAGGAAGAGAGTTTTCAAGAGAGACCAATATAGACTTCCAAACCCTCACTCCCAGCTCACACCGTCACCTTAGGATGATAAGTGGAATGTACCAGGAAACAGGGAAAAGACTACGGAGCCAACTGTCCTGAAAAGAGAATGGGGATGGAGAGGAGGTGGAGAAAGACCTACAAGAGGAACCAGATAAATTAAAAGCCACCAAGACAGCAACAGTGTATAGTAGGGGAGTGTGGGACATAGGGGAAGGTGACAGCGGCTGCATCAGGACCGGGAAAGTGGAGTGCCCCATTCCTGTCTGGAAGCTAAGGGGTGACATGAGATTGCGTTTATGTGCGTGTGAAGATGGGGAGGCATTTTCTGTATCTCTCAGGGGATGGGAGGGTAGCTGTGGGGACACCCCACTCACAGCTAAACCAGAACCAGAACAGCTCCTCTCCTCTGTGACCATCTTGGGATCCCACCTTTCTATCTTTGACTGAGGGGGGTTGGGAGAAGATGGTGGAAAATGTGTGAAAGTGGGGAAAGCACAACGGACATCAACCAGGCTGGGTTCAGAGGTAAAGGAAAAGGGACATTCCAGAAGCATCCACAGGAAAGGGGGGGGGGACAGGAGGAAGGGGGGGTCTCAGGTTTTGTTGATGCGGAGTTTGAAGGCCACTCGGCCCGCAAACTTGTCTCGCTCGTCGTCTGTGGCGATGTTGACGGCGTTGATTCGGCATTCCACGTTCACCTCCACGTTGGGGGTCACGTTCAGGAACTTCACGGCCACGAGGGGCTGTGTGTAGTTCACCTGGGTCAAAGGAGGAGAGTGAGGGGCCAGGCCCAGGGCAACTTGGCCTCCTCCTCAAGGCGTTTGCTCCCCTTGAGGAGCCACCGCCCCAGGGCCTCCCATAGAACTTACGTGGAACTTCTTGCCATAGTAGGGGAAGTACATGAGGTCGATGTTGCCATTGGCAGGGAACATGACAAAGCTACCCAGATTCTCGGCATCTTCATCTCGCTGTGGGGGCACAGGAGGGTAGAAGGGAGAGCTTGTTAGGGATGGAAGGAACCCGGAAGCTCACTAGACTTCCCTTTGTTTTTTTCACCCCGGATTATTCTGTCTCAAATCTGTTTCCCTTGAGCTGTGAGTCTGTGTGTGTCTGTGTGTGAGCAGGAGGAGGCATCCCGTCTCTCTCAATAGGTTGGGAAGTCCTAAAGAGCGCTACTGAAGCCTCCTACTCCACTCCCACCTCAAGTTCTTACCCCATCCTCAGGAATCGGTTTCTAGAGCAGAGCCAAGAGAGAACTGATAAATGAGTTAGGCACAGTAGAAAGCAAGGAGAGGGGTTGAGGGAAGAGATGGCAGGAAGTTTCTAGACAGGACAGAGGTGGAGACAGTGGGGTTCCGAGGACACCTTAGTGGTAGCAGATGGTGCTAACAGATCAGCAGCTACCAGATCCCTAAAAAGAACTGAGGAGCAGGTGAGATATGGGAGGGAGAGCAGAAGACGTGGTTACCAGGGAATAGAGAAGAAGGTGGGAAGGTTAAGGAGAGAAGCCAGAGGCCAGGGCTTGGGTGGAGTCAGGAAAGGGGGTGTCTATCCACAAAGCTGGCTTCTGCACCCGAGAGAGAAGCAAGAGGAATAGGATCCCCTTGGAGTTTGATCCCTATTGCAGCCCTCTCTTACCCCCTTATCCCTATAGTGATGGGGCCCCTGGGAGCAAAGAAGACGGGAAGAGATGAGTGAATTACATGGAAACCATGATATACAAACAGGTGGGCAGGTGGACAAGGTCCAAAAAGCTCACCTTCCCCGCACAGGTAACATTCATGCTCTGGTTTGCTCCTGCATAGAAGTTGATGACCTGGAGTGAGGAGAGTGGTGAGAGTTAGAAAAAGAAGTTGTCAAAGACACAACTTCCAGCCATGGACCTCAGCCTCCAATGGCCCTATCTTTCTTGTTCTCTCAGCGACTCAAACATCCAAAAATCTCTCTAGTGCCCATCAGGAAACAACTGTCAGTAGATGGTGGCCCCAATTCCCTCCTCCATTCTCCCTAGGGACCAAGGTCATGGTTACCCGGTTCATCTTAATGAAGACACAGGGCTGCCCAGTGCTATAACCATAGTGGGTGGGGTCCCCGATGCCAGAGCAGTCACCCAGCTGGGTCCGGTTGAACTGGCAGGCACGTTTCGGGTAGTTGAGGACTCCGTTATCTGGCTGTTCGTAATAGCGCCCAGGGCGGCAGACATCATTCTTTTGGGCTTGGATGGAGTCGTTGTAAGCTAAGGAGGTGGGGGAGAGAGAGCATGGGCCTGATGTTCCACTTCTAGGGTCTCCAACCCCCTGCCCAAGGTCCTGCACAACCACATCTCCAGCCCCACACTCACGCTCCAAGAACTTGTTGAGCTTCTGAACATGCTGGTCCCAGCTTTCAGTGTCACTGACATTGACGACGACATCAAGGTTCTCAGTCTTGGGGCGAATCATCAAGCCTATAGCCAGACAAGGGCAGGAGTGCGGGCTGTATATACGATGTGGGGCCACACACAGAGGGCAGAAGACAGATATAGGGAACACCAGGGTGAGGGATGGGATGAAGATCTAAGATCCTCTTCATGGGAGGAAGAGATCCCCAGGTCACACAGCTCTCAGCTGTGGGAAATGGGAAAGGAAAGCGGACTTCAAGAACTTCCCAGCACATGGTGATTGGGTCATCAGAACCACACCTCTGAGAATTCTGAGTTCTTCTCAGCCTTGGAGTTCCTTTGGGAGGCTGAGGGGCAAAAGAGCAGTTAGAGTGGCTGGTAGTAGAGTCTCATCACTCACCTGGTGTGGCCAGTCGGTCCTGGTACTTGGGGGTATGGTCAGAGACAGTCTGCAGCATCACCCACATGGTGAGGGTGAACATGGCCGTGAGGAAGCCATAGAAGACGAAGTAGAAGAGGAGGATAAAGGCTGGGGAGGAGGAAACGGGGTCAGCAGGTTATCCTGCCATGACCTCACCTATCCCACACACCCCTTTCCCACTCAGAGGCTCTGCTCTGGGACAGGTCACAGAGGCTCCGGGACATCTTAGGGCCTGCCCCGGGGGAGTGCGATGAGACAAGCTGGAAACAGGCAGTTGTGCCTGGCGTCCAGCCATGACTCCCAGCCCCCTCCTGGTCCTGGGGCACAGCGAGGCCTGACCTTGTGGAGGCCACCAGAGACCTGAACTCTCGTTGCTGAGACAACCCCAAGTATAGGCCACAGTGATTTTGCTTCAAATTACATTCCCAACTTCTCAACCATTCATGGCCCTGAAAAAAGCACATCTGTTACTGCTGTATCGGTACTCGTGCTTAAAGTTGTACAGCACACAACTTCTGAAGCTGGCCCTGGCTACCGGCTCACAACCAAAACTCTCATTCCGTCCTCAAAGTGTCGACCCTCACACTCAGATAGCAACATCTTCCCTCTCTCTCTCCTGGCGCCCCACAGAAGCCAAATCTTGAACACTGCTCCTTCCTAACTACAACATCTCTCAGAGACAGATGTCCAGAACTGTCAACAGTCACCCCACCCCCAACTCACACACAAAACACTCAGGCGAATCTCCCACCGCCTTCCCAGCTGAGAGCAGGTCTGTGGTGGACATGAGCAGGTCTGTGGTGGGCACTGTCACTGCTCAGCTGAGTATGGGTACCTGCTGTTCCCACCACTGGGAGCCCCTAGTGACCCAGTGGTTCTCAACCTTCCTAATGCCGCGACCCTTTAATACAGTTCCTCATGTTGTGGTGACCCCCAACCATAAAATTATTTTCGTTGCTACTTCATAACTGTAATGTTGCTACTGTTATGAATCGTCATGTAAATATCTGATAGGCTATGTGTGTTTTCCGATGGTCTCAACCCACAGGTTGCAAAAGACACTTCCCCCAGGAAGCTTCCTCAGATTCTCCCAAGTACTCATGGACCTCTCCAATCCCAAGGACTGGACTTCACGTTCCCTCCGGGCAAGGACTGCATTGGACCTACCTCAGGGGCCCCAGGTGGATGGGCTGATGGGGATGTCCTTCCGTCAGTGTAGATGAAGTGTCAGTTGGGTCACACCCTGCACCCGGTGCTCAGATTTCCCAGTTTGACTGTCCCTTTTGGAAGAATTCCACCCCTCCCCTGCACCCATGCCCAGCACCGGACCCTCAACAGACACAGCTCCCTCCACACCCCCTGAGTCCTGCCACCCCAACCCCAAGCCACACTAGGCCAAATGGTGTACACATCGCACCACCAGGGACCAACTCTCCCTGCACCTGCGACATCTGAGACAAGCATCCAGTCTCACAATTCACAGTGACCCTCCTCCCCTGCAGCCCCCACCCACAGAGCAGCCACAGATGGCTCCGAGTGCTCCAGTGGGCCACAGACAACTTCCGCTGAGAAGAACCCCCTCCTTCCAGCGCACATCCCCACCTCTCCAAGACCCGCCCTCTCACGCCCGTTCCCAGGGTCCAGGGGTGGGCGCGAGCTAAAAATAGACGTGTTTGGCCAGCCGGTTGGGAGCCATGGGGAGGGAAGGGGCGTCTTCTGGGGAAGGAGGGCCCCTGTGCGGTGCCGACCAGCCCCCGAGCGCGAGTGCGAGCGCCGCGGTGCGGACACGCGCGCAGAGCCCGCGACCCCCCGCGCGAGGGGGCTCCACGGGGGGCGGGCAGGCGGCCGTGACCTACTTTCTCCGCCTCCGCAGCGCCAGCCGAGGAGATTAGACCAGCGATTTGGTCCCCTCCCAGCCCAGAGCGCCGCAGGGGGGTCGGACCGGGAAAGGAGCTGGGGTGACGCCAACGGGACCTCGTGCCCCCGGGGCATCACCAAGCGGACCCCCCATCCCCCCCGCCCCTGGCGCGGCTGCCCCGCGTACCCCAGCTGGTCCCGGTGCGGCCCATGAACTGGTGCGTCCGCGGGTTCCACACGAACTCCTTCCACTCCTCAACCACCTGCCCGCAGCTCTTCTTCTCTTTCTGGATGACCATCTTGGCGGCGGGGGACGAGTACCGCGCGGGGCGGGGGGCTACGGAGAAGCTGGGGTGCGGTGCGCTGTAGCCCCCCTCCCACGTACCGGAATGCTCCGGGAGCAGAGGCAGCCGGAGCGAGGGAGACCCCCTTCAGCTATGCAGCTGCTGCGAATTCCGGGGTGCACGGCCACGCGCTGCGGGTTGCTGGCAACGCGGCGTGGGATGCACAGATCCTAGGCCCCCCCAACTGCGATAAAAAGGGGGGGTTGTCAGAGCAGGGGAGGATAAAAAGGGGAAGGGGTACGAGTGCCGCTTCACCCCGCCTTCTAGAAGCAAAAGGAAAAGGGATGCAAAAATAGACGGCAGCCAAACCGGAGCGAAACGCAGTACAAATCGGGGTGCAAAGAAGCAGAGAGAGAAGTGGGGGAGGGGGCCTCCCCGAAATCCGAGATTCAAAGAGCCTGTGGCGCGGGTTTGGGTGACCACCGGAGGTTCTTCCGCCAAGCAGAGACCGCCGCGCCAGCGGGGCTCGGCCGCCGGGTGGGGTGCAGACGCGCAGTTGGGGGTCAGCCCGGGAGAGGAGACCCCGGCCCCAGGCTCCGCTCCTCAGCAGTGCGAGCCGGCGGGCGCCGAGCGCAGTCTTTATAGTCAGCAGCTTTGGGGCTGCCCGCCCCTTCCCTCCCCCAGAAACCCCGCCTCCTCGCCGCTGGCCCGGGCACCTCATGCATATGCAAACATGGAGATGTCGGGCCCGCCCCCTCAGCCTCTTCAGGGCCAGGAGGTCTGTCCCTTACAGCCAACCCAGGTACTGGACTGGGTCCGAGTGGGTAGGAGGGTAGAGGCCATGTCTGGGCAGGATACGGAGAGAGAACCCCAGAGAGACACAGAGGCTGGGAGGGAAGCAAACATGCTGAGATGGGGGACCCAGGCAGGGAGTTAAAAAGAGACCAAGACCCAGGAGATACACAGGGCAGAATGTGGAAGGACTAGAGAAGGAGCCAGAAACCAAGAAAAGGAGATAACGGAGACTAGTCAGGTGCTAGACCAGCAGGATGGGAGCTGGAACGGGGCACATGGAGATGGAGAGGCCACCACAGGGGGAATCCTCAGTGGGAGCTGCTACCAGGTGTGTGTTCCCCGCCCCCCATGCCTCCTTTTCCAGTCCCACAGCCCCTCCTCCCACCACCTGTTTATCCCCAAGTCTCCGGGCTTCCGGGGCTCCCCCACCCCCAACCCCTGTTAGTGAATCCCTCGCACACCACATCCCAGCCCCAGCACTGCCCCGAGAACCCAGCCTTGGAGCCAGGTCTGCTGGTCCGCTTAGGTGTTCTGCCTCCTCCCACCCTCATGTCTTTTTTTTTTTTTTTAATTGTTTAAAGTATTACATATGTCTCCTTTTTGTGTAAGGATACACTTACCTTGTCCTCACTCCGAGTCTCCCTGAACTCCTATGCGTGGTGGCTACATTGACCCCCACGACCCCCATGTCTTAACTCCCCTCATCATTTGCCCACTTGAGTCAACAAACATTTACTGGGCACCTATTCGAGACCTTGTGCAATGTAGCCCTGGAGAGGGAAGGTTCAAGTTCTCTCCCTCTCCCTTCCGCTCTGAAATCAATAAAAATATATTGATTTTTATTAAAAAGAATAATTATCTTTTTAAAATTATTTTAATTTTTATTAAGTATATTTTATTGATTTTTTACAGAGAGGAAGGGAGGGGGATAGAGAGTTAGAAACATCGATGAGAGAGAAACATCGCAACCAAGGTACATGCCCTTGACCGGAATCGAACCCGGGACCCCTCAGTCCACAGGCCGACGCTCTATCCACTGAGCCAAACCAGTCAGGGCAAGAATAATTATATTTTTATCTCTCTTTGAATCTTGTCAGTTTTCTTTGGAGAGGTTTTTCTCTCAACTCTCATCCTAAATCCTTGGCTCTAGTCCTCAACAGGTCTCGTCTTCCCCTCACACTCTGTCCCTCCAGTCTAGGCGTCAGCTTCACGGACTTGGGATCTGCTCAAACAAAGCCTGTGCTCAGAGTGGCTTTGTGCTTAGTTTAGGCTCTGCTCTCACCATCCTTAAATTCTTCATAATTTTTTTTTTAATCCTTACCCGAGGACTTTTCCCCCCCATTGATTTCTAGAGAGAGTGAAAGGGAGGGAGGAGGGGGAGAGAGAAACATTGACATGAGAGAGACACATCAATTGGTTGCCTCCCACACACGCTCCTATTGGGCTGGGGAACCCACAACCCAGGTACATTCCCTTGACGGGGAATTGAACCCACTACCTTTGGGTCTGAGGGCCGACACTCTAACCACTGAGCAACTGGCGGGGCGATTCTTCATAATTTTGTCTTTGAATTTTTCATTTGTAAGGGAAGTCCAATGGAACAATGGGGCATGAGTGTGAGCAGAGACAGTATGCACAATATGCCATCATGATGCTCCATGAGCACAGAACCGGATGTAGCCACCATGCAGGGGAGTTCAGGGAGACTCGGGGTGAGGACAAGGTAAGTGTGTTATGTCTCCACCTGAATACGTGGAAATGCTGAGAGCTGAAGGGCCAAACTTTCCTTTCGAGCAGAACTTTCTTTGAAAACAGGAAGAAAGCAATGTTCCTCAAGACATTATATGTTCTTTCTCAATCATACTACTTCCCTGATTTAGCTAGCACTTTTTAATTTTTATTGATTGATTTTATTTTATTTTAAATATATTTTATTGATTTTTTACAGAAAGGAAGGGAGAGGGATAGAGAGTTAGAAACATCCATGAGAGAGAAACATTGATCAGCTGCCTCCTGCACACCCCCTACTGGGGATGTGCCCGCAGCCAAGGTACATGCCCTTGACCGGAATCGAACCTGGGACCCTTCAGTCTGCAGGCCGATGCTCCATCCACTGAGCCGAACCGGTTAGGGCTCATTGATTGATTTTAGAGAGAGAGATGCCCAGGCCGTTGTAGCTCAGTTGGTTGAGCATCATCCTGTGCCAACCGATTGATGTTTCTCTCTCACATCAGTGTTTCTCTCTCTCCCTCTCCCTACCTCCCTCTCTAAAATCAATAAATATATTTTTTTAAAGCAGTAATTGAACAACATTAAATAGCAAATAAAAATACCATGAGAGCCCTGGCTGGTTTGGCTCAGTGGATAGAGTGTTGGCCTGTGGACTAAAGGGTCCTGGGTTTGATTTCGGTCAAGGGCTCATGCCTGGGTTGTGAGCTCAATCCCCAGTGGGGGGCATGCAGGAGGCACCTGATCAATGATTCTCTCTCATTGATGTTTCTAACTCTCTCTCCCTCTCCCTTCCACTCTGAAGTCAATAAAAAAATATATTTTTAAAAATGCCATGAGAAGTTGAGAAAAGAACTGTGGAAGAAAGGAAAACATCTTATATTTCAGTAGTTTGAATGGCTCCGTTTTCCTGCTTTTTGAATATATTTTTATTTATTTCAGAGAGGAAGGGAGAGGGAGAAAGAGAGATAGAAACATTAATGGTGAGAATCATTGATCAGCTGCCTCCTGCATGCCCCCCACTGGGGATCGAGCCTGCAACCCAGGCATGTGCCCTTGACCAGAATTGAACCTGGGACTCTTCCATCTGCAGGCTGATGCTCTAGTCCAAGGGTCCTCAAACTTTTTAAACAGGGGGCCAGTTCACTGTCCCTCAGACCGTTGGAGGGCCGGACTATAGTTTAAAAAAAAACTATGAACAAATTCCTATGCACACTGCACATATCTTATTTTGAAGTAAAAAAACAAAACGGGAACAAATACAATATTTGTATTTGCATGTGGCCCGCGGGCCGTAGTTTGAGGACCCCTGCTCTAGTCACTGAGCCAAACCAGCTAGGGCTTTCCTGCTTTTTGAACAAGGGATCCCGCATTTTCATTTTGCAGTGGGTCCTAAAAATTATGGCGCTGGCCCTGCTTCAGTCCTTTTTGCAGCAGACTCTGAATTAATTTTCTCAAGATACAGTTTTAGGCCCTGGCTGGGTAGTTCAGTTGGTTAGAGCGTCGTCCCGATAAGCCAATGTTTCAGGTTCGATCCCCGTTCAGGGCACATACAAAAATCAACCAACGAATGTATAAATAAGTTGGAATAACAAATGGATATTTCTCTCTCTTTCTCTCTAAAAAAATCAATCAATAAAAAAATTATTTTTAGCCGAAACCGGTTTGGCTCAGTGGATAGAGCGTCAGCCTGCGGACTGAAGGGTCCCGGGTTCGATTCCGGTCAGGGGCATGTACCTTGGTTGTGGGCACATCCCCAGTGGGAGGTGTGCAGGAGGCAGCTGATCGATGTTTCTCTCTCATCGATGTTTCTAGCTCTCTATCTCTCTCCCTTCCTCTCTGTAAAGAATCGATAAAATATATTTTTTTAAAAAATTATTTTAAAAAAGATACAGTTGTAATTTGGTCACTCCTCAGCTCAAAGGTCTTCAATGGCTTCCTGTTACCCTGCAGGATGGATGCCTCATTCTTCAGTTTAACCTTCAGGGTATTCCACAGTCCAGATCTAGCCTGTGTCCCCAGCCCCTTTCCCACGAGGCCCCCACTAGTCCTCTGCTAGAGTTTAACTAGCCGCTCCCAGTACAGGCTGAGCTCACTCCTGACTTCACACCTTTGTCCACTTCATTTCCTCATCCTGGAAGACTACCCATCTTTCAGAGTGCACCCCGACTCCCATTCACCCATTTAATGGGCATCTAATGAGCATTTTGTTTGGTCTCTGTGCTCTTGGGGCCCTCATCCCAATAAAAATAAAAGCAAGCAAAAATTTTAAAATAAAATGTTGATATTACAGAGAAAAAATGAAACAGGGTGATATGCCAGAGAGCGCCGGATGGTCAGGGATGACTTATAATGTGACACCTGAGTGACCCAAAGGGGCCACGAGGAGAGCTTTCTAGGAGAAGGGACGTGAAAATGCAACGGCTAAGCTTCAATGAGGGAAGGCAAGTTGACACCACAAGTCCTATCCGGTTCAGCTCAATGGATAGAGTGATGGCCTGCGGACTGAAGGGTCCTGGGTTCGATTCTGATCAAGGGCACATGCCAGGGTTGCAGGCTCGATCCCCAGTAGAGGGCGTGCAGGAGGCAGCCGATCAATGATTCTCTCATCATTGATGTTTCAATCTCTCTCCCTCTCCTTTGCTCTCTCTGAAATTATATATATATATATATATATATATATATATATATATATATATATATAGAGAGAGAGAGAGAGAGAGAGAGAGAGAGAGAGAGACCACAAGAGACCCGAGAGGCAGGCAGGAACCAAATCATACAGGTCCTTGTAGGCCAAAGGGAGTATTTTGGATTTTAATCCAACCACCACAGAAGTAATTCTAGTGTTTTAGGCAGGGGAGTGACATGACTAAATTTAATGAAAATCACCATGAGGTGCAAGGATGCCAGTTAGGAAGGCTTTGCAGCAGTCCAGGGGGAAGAGTATGGATGGCTTGGACCAGGCCAGCAGGGTTGCAGATGGAGAGAAGAGGCTGGGTTCAGGATCTACTTTGAAAATGCAGTGACATGAACAGTGGGGACGACAGAAAGAGAAACCAAGGCTAATGCTTC